CTAAGAGTGGCACGATTTAAAATGGGATTGCAAAATAGCCATATAAAAACATTAAATTGATAATATTTCGAAAACTAAACAATTTTGGAATAGACTTTGCACAAACTTACCCTTATTTTTAATACTAAATAAGATAAAATTATCAAATATGGGGGTTTCCATTTGACAAAATTGATTTAGGGCGATTTTGTCAACGTCATTTTGAAAGTTATTTTTTTTAACACTTTGCATTAATAGTTATCAAAATTTTGTCGAAATTTCATTACAGTAAGTCTTTTTCAACAATAAATGCGACTCAAACTAAATATCACAAATCCCCTTATCGGAAAAATGAATAATTATTCGAGTGGCTGCAACTGTCATTTTTTGCATGCAATTTCAAATATATCGAAAACCGTTAGACTTAGGTATAGGATGTTATACATGAAATATATTTAAAATTTGGAGCAGAATGTAAAATTGTAATGATACATATACAGGGTGTGTTATTTAAAATGAGCAAGTTGATACCTACCCTACTTCCGGTATAACCGGAAGTGTGGCCATCTTGAAAATATTTTCGGCTGCTTGCCCCCAATGAATTTAGCACACTGTCCAATTTTTAAATTTTCTCCTAACTACAGTTTGCCAGATATCGATCGCTGCGGTTTCCGGTGAGACACCCTGTATACGTAGGTGTAGATAGGATTTCTTGATATAATATGTACATGTATTTAATATAAATTGTACATACTTTTGCCAAGGCCAATATATGCCAAGGCTTAAAGTAGCAACAACGCTACACATAGAAACTGATGATGGTGGAAAACACCGAAACGTATTTTAATTGATAAATAGACAATAAATGACTGAAGCCCAGAAATTGATTTCGATTTGGAATATAATATAAAAAAAATATTGGGGTGGAGCGGTTGTGTTATAGAGGTAGTACCTTTTATCAGAACGGCCACATCGAGCGTCAAGATGGGAGATGGTTCTAGTTAACTGGTCCTCATAAGACACTGCAATGGTCTGCAGGTCAAACTAAGTAAGGGTAGCCAGATATGGCAAAAACCACCGAACGACCGTCGGTATAAATGGTCCCTCTCAGACCCCCAACAGCTTCTTTATGAAGGTGGAAGAGTGGACTGAGGTAAGGTCATCCTGTTGTCCTTGAGTGGAGAAATCGACTCTGAAGGCGGAAGAACCAATAAGGCCAACGGCATCAGCATGCAGAAAGCAAGAAGAAACTACTGCATTAAAGATCCCTTGTGGATATCTTCATCAAGAAAATCACTCATCATGTCAGGTTAAATTAACAATGGCTCCGAGTCCCGGCGCTTCTTAAATGAAGCAGGGGTGCGAAGAATCTCCGGACTTGCTATAATGAGAAATTCACTAACAATTGGAACCAGGAATGTTCAAGGCCTACTAAAAGCAGGAAAGTCCATCAGTTAATTTAGGAAATGAAAAACATCTATTAGGATTGAGCGAAGTAAGATGGCCCGGTACAGGCAAAATAGAAATTAATGACCACATTATCTACTTCTCGGCGGGAAGAGATAGCTGTAGTCAACAATATGACGTCGCATTGATCATACACAAGAACATTGATAAGTCAATAGAAACTTTGAACCCCTACTCCGAAAGAATGGCGCTGATGCAACTTAAATCTAAAAACACGATACTCAACCTCGTATAAGTACATACACCCACAACAGACAGAGAACAGAATGAAATAGAAGAATTCTATAACGGTCATCACAGAAAGCCTTAAGAAACACCGTATCAACATAATACTGGGCGACTTTAACGCAAAAATCGGCAAAGAATGCGATATCAAACACCTGGTTCAAACTAGCTTCTAGACGAATCTATATCTGCAAATGACCTCAAGACAACGAGCAAAAGGTTGTAAGGAATCAAATCGACTTTGTTCTGATTAATCACAGATTCAAATCAAGTATTCAGAGTGCAAAAACCTATCCAGGCATGGAGGTAGGATCAAACCACCATCCGGTCGTTATCAAACTAAGACACAAGCTAGAAACAATAAGCGCAAGGAAACCAAAAAGTGCAATATTGAAGCACTTCGAAGCAAAGTGATTAAAGACAAATTAACTACCAAACTTAATGAAGAACTGAAAGAAACAATAATAACGGGAGATCGGGGAATGGAAGATGTATAGCAGACCATAAAAAGTTAGATAGTTGGAGTATAAAGAGAGGAACTAAAGAAGGAGGACAGTAAGAAACGGATAACATGGATGACGGAAGACATTTTGGAACTTATGGAAGAGAGAAGAAAACACAAACAATGCACAATTATACAAAGAAATCCAAGGAACCATCGATACAAAAATCAAAGAAGCAAAAGAAAAGTGCCTAAATGAAATGTGTAAAGTAATAGAAGATCTATTCAGAAAACATGAGATAATTCAACCTCCACAAAATATTAAAAGAAGCCTCCTGTAATAACAAAAAACAAAAGATACCCATCCTAACTGATAAGAAAGGAAGACTAGAACAAATCCACATGTTCAGATACTTAGGAGTAGTACTAAACGATAAGTGGGATCCAGATGTAGAAATAAAAACACGAATAGAACAGGGCAGGAACATGTACAACAAATGGAAGCAAATTATCTGTAATCGTAAACTAGGCTTAGACATTCGACTCAGATCTATTAAATGCTACGTTTGGTCTGTCCTTCTATATGGAGTTGAAGTGTGGACACTAAAATTAAATATCATGAGACGCCTAGAAGCCTTTGAATTGCGACAACACATAACGAATCAAGCAGTAATGAGCACCCTAAATAGAGAGCTTGAACTAATACCAACGATTAAGAAAAGCAAGACCTCATATTTACGCCACATAATGAGAAATGACGAATACAACTTGCTCAGACTAATAATTGAAGGAAATATAGAAGGCCGGAGAGGAGTAGGCAGGAGAACAATATCATGGCTACGTAACAGCAGAACTTGGACAGGCATGAACGTTCAACAATTACTAGGAGCGGCACAGAATAAGGAAGTTTTTGATGTAGTGATCGCAAACCTCCAGTAATGGAGTGCACCAGAAGAAGAAGAATGTAAAAACATATTATAAAACAAGAACACTTATTTATTTAGATCACAGAATCACGGGAGTAGTTCGATTTGAGTATCGTTCAGTATGATATTAGGTTTTCAATTGAAAGACATTTTACATCTGATGTTTGGTTTTTTTTGTCGAAATGAACCGAAATCTGACGTGTTTTTATTGATGAAAACGCTTTAAAGGCGTTTGTTTAAAACCAATCGTGGCACCGCATCAAATAATAATTCTTTGCCAATATAACAGTCATCAACATATTTGTAGCTTGCAGGAACCGAAAGGAAATACGCAAGCTTCAGTAGGTACCTACGATTTTCAATTTTTGGTGTTGCTGCTTACACTGTCTGCTTTGTCGCGTTTTTGCAGCTGTTTTTGTACAGGACTTACTAGAACATTAACGGCTTTCACTGAAAATTTACGTTGGGAAACAACAGGGACACTCGAATAAAGGGGAGGAGAGCTGGAATGGCTGGGTATTAACGAAGTGGATATTTTTCTATGCCCTTGCAGCTTGGGAGTAAAGGAGTAATGTTCTTTTAACGTTTGTGGTGCGTTCTCGATGTCAGGACGCAGCGAGTGCCTGCGACTTTCGGGTTGAAACGCCACAGATACTTTCCTCTTGGGGTCTTTTCTCTTCGCGATATCTTTAAGAAGACTTTCGTCTACTGGCCGCAGAGAAAAACGTCGTTGGGCACTTAAGTCGCGAGAATGCAAATCCGGAATCAAAGATGCTCTTCTGCTGTTAGACAACATGATTCCGTGTCTTCGAGCTCGCGGGGAGAAGCTTTGAGGTGTGGATTCTTCGAGAGTGTCTGGAGCTGATACGGCTGACAAAGCTCGTATGAAGGCTGCTATTGAAGTTTGCTCTAGAATTTGCTCATGATCGGGAGCGACTAGGGATTCCCGCCTTATGTACATGGCCGACGACTTTTCTGGCATGTTGCTCATTGTACTGTTTGAAGGCAGCTCCTGCTTCTCAATGTCTTGGTACGGCTCATCTCTTGACAGCAAGCGGTTGCGAATCCTTTTGAAAATATTGTCTCTGTCGGGTTTTTTGAATTCGAAAACGGATTTTGCTCTCTGTCGCGTTTTGTACTGCTTGATGGCTTGATCTGCGTCGGCCCCATACCAAGTGTTGCCGTTGACCGCTTCATGAAGCAGCATGCTCGGGGGTCTCACATCGCTTACAGCTCTGCGTTGCTTCATTTTGGACTGGCCCGAACTGGAATCGCAATACTCACTGGCCAGAATGCTGGCATCTGAAAACCCATGGATTCCCTTCTCGCTTTCGTGGGTCTGAAGAGATTCGCAACTAAGAGCGTTGCAGACCTTGAACAGCAGCTCCGTTTGTTCCAGGAGATTGTTGGTAGACAAGAACGTTTTTTCCTTGTCGATTCGATTCAAGTCACTGTCGGACTGAACCCGTTGGAAGTTCACTGAACGATAGCACTCGGACATTGCTCTCTTCCGTGTCATGGGAGATTCGTTTTTGTACATTGTGAACTCGGGACAGCTTTGGCTGCGCTCGATATCGGACGGCACGTACTCAAAATCACCTTTGTACACAGGCTTCACTCTTAAAAAAAGCATTTCGTGCAGGAGCGTTCGTAGCTCGCTACGTATTTTTCTTGGAGTGTTTTTTATATTTTCACTCAAAATGTGTTCGATTTGCTTGATGCGCTTGCTGCGCATACCGTTGGTGATGAAGCTGAGAATCATGACCACATAGCCCATGCCTCCCACGATCCATATGAGCAGAAACACTTGGTAGACAGAATACAGAGGACCAAAGCCGAATGTGTCGGTTACACCTGAAAAAAGGTCGATTATTGCCTTCCACATGCTTTATACCGATCTATAATAACTGCAGCAAATGAGCTTAGTTGAACAATTTTAAATACGGGTGTATGTTAATAACGTCAATCGTGTTTTACCTGCCACGTAGTCTCCAAAGCCAATGGTGGTGAGCGATACGAAAGAATAGTACACCGAAACATCATAGTCCCATCCTTCGAACACGGTCATGATTGTGGAAGGGAGAAAAATAAAAAACGTGAAACCCGGTACCAGATATAGGATTACTTGGCCAATTAGACCCAAATTGGCCGTGTAGTAGTCCAATTTGACCTCCAGTTTTGAGTGTTTCCATCTTTGGTGAAGCTTCTTGAACTGTTTAAATAGAAGTTGGCGATTAATAGTCGAACTCGTTACAGAGAAGTCTTATCAGCTTACGATTGTTGGCAATTCGAACAATTATCAAGATTAATTTCGAGTGGGAATCGATTGGCAAAACGTGAACTGATTCGTTTAAGTGGAATTTAATTAAGTATCAAGCCAAGTTTGATTAGTTCGGGCGTCAAATTGTAATTAATTGCTGTTAATATTTACCAAAAAAATCAAGCAAGTAAGTCAGGAAGAAATCTTACCGACCGCCCAAAAAAGTCTCCCAGTGTGTAAATAACAATACCATTCATCGGGATGCCGACCAAACCGTAGAAAATCATAAACACCCTGGTAAAGAGTGTGGTAGGAGCCAGATTTCCATAGCCTAAGGAAGAAAACAGCAAATCAAAACATGTTACAACATGTCGAGTATGTTTTCTTACCGATGGTACTGACAACGGTTATCACAAAAAACAGCGAATGGTAAAAGTCCCACTTATACTCCACTGGTCCTTCGCTCATATTGACATCCAGAGGTTTTCCACAGTACTGAGTTAAGCTGGTAAATAAGTTTTTCCTTGCCGAATAATTTCCTTGGAAATGCTCCCTTATCATAACTTTAAAAAAGAAATTTAGTCCTGTTAATTGAGCATACGGGTGCCCGAAGTGAGTATAAGCCGTATGAGGGAGTAATTCACGGTGGGCCTGGGTAACTTAGTGAATTTTTAGGAGTTGACGCAGTGCTGCCCAAAGGGAATATGGTGCGCCAACCCAATGTACCGGCGCAGTAACTCAGTTCCGTTGTTGGGGGAACGTTGATGATCTTTTTTAAGTTGTTTTTAGATTTATTTTACGGGCCATTTATTAACGATATTTTTTGAGTTTCTTCAAAATTTCTGAATTTTCCAGTTTTAGCGAAGTTACTGTTTCTTCCAAACGTTCAATTTTCTATAGTTTCACCTAAAAATTATGAAATAAATTTTATGTTTGCGCAAAAATCAAATAATCTACTCGTCACCTCCATTGCATCTGAAGACTGTAGAGTTTGTTAAAAAAAATGTGGGTTTTTAGTTTTGACTGAATTTTTTGCTTTACTTTCAACTCAAAAACGCTCTATTTTGTCGAGTTTCACTTAAAAATACTGACAATATGGAAGTCTTTTGCGCGAAAAATCACAAGATAAATTTATAGCTTTGTAGGAATTTAAACTTTTTTCAGCACCGAATTCGAGACAAAAACGAAAATAAATTTATTTGATCCCCTGATAGAATGTACGTACTTTCGCCACTGTTTTCGATGGCAAAAGCATCACTTTTACCCATTGCAAATTTTTTTCATCCCGTGTGGAAAGTAATAACTTTCGCCTTTCGTGCACACTGACAGCTTGACTTGTCACTGACTGTCTCTGCCTGTTTTGACAACATTTTCAACGTTTTTTTTTTAAAACCTTCCTACTACTTTGCCCGCTAGTTTCCACCGAGGATCAAAAAAAATTGTATACGGTACGTGAGACAAAAGTCTCTTATACCGTAATATACTATTCTCCCGTTTTTCCCGAAAATGATTAACGCTTTCTGAAAAACTGATCACAAAAGTAAAAGTTTTTTTAATCAAAAACGCAAAACAAAACATTTTTTCTGATGAATTTCTTATTTTCTAACAATAATGGGGTCTTTTCAGCCAAAATTAAGAAAACTAATTTTGCTAGAAAATTCGCCTTAGTCATCGGTTTGCAGGGAACTTTGAAAACCCATTTCAGCGTCGAAGTTGGCACAAAAACCAAATAATTTTCTTTAGGTTTTTACCCAAAGTTCTTGAGAATATCTTGAAAACCGACTAGAGAGCAAAAGTTTACAAAAAATATATTTGAAAATTGCCGGCCTCATCGTTCTGAGGGTTATTAAAGTTACTTTAAATTTTCAAGACTTTCCAGTTTTAGCAAAGTTTGTTCTGGCAAGATAAAGCTAAAAAATCGCATAATTTTTTAGTTTTAATATTATAAATTCAGTTCAATTTTCAGTTCAAATTCAGTTTAAATATTCAGGAATTTTCTGTGAAAGATAAAATTTATTGAAACACTCGCCTCCTTAACCGATTTGCATAAATTTTTGGAAAACCTTTTGCAGCTTCGAATTGTCGACAAAACAATGATAATTTTTTCTCGGTTTTTTCCGAAAGATATTTCCACGAACTGAAAAAGCGAAAGTTTATAATCATTTACTCGGAAAACTCTTGGCAACTGGGGTTTCTTCAGTTTTAGGCCAATATTTCTGAACAACACTGTCTATAAACAGAAAACCCGCATTTTTTCTAACGTTTTACTGAAAAAGACTGGCAAATTGAGTATTTTATGAGAAAAATGTTGATGACCTTTTTTAGATGTTAAAATTCCAGTCTCGGGTTTTGTAAAGCTTTAATCCACTTTAATAAATGGCATAACTCATTAACCGATTAGTTATAACCCGTTAACTCAGAGAGCGGCAACAACTCAAAAGCGCAACTCAACACAGTGTTACCTAATCTTAATTCACGGATCTCATCGTTAGCACCCTCTTATGATAAATGACAATGAAGAGTTTTTAGTGTCCGAAAATTCTAAATAAAATAATTTTTCTTATTCCAAAAATTGTTTGCGGTTTAAGCCGCGAAGAGTCCCTTCCATAAATGACAATGTTTTTATGGAAAATTTGGAAAACCAAAGCCTTACACATCAGTTCAATGAAACTTAAGATGGAAGGTATTTTACTATTTCTTGYTCGGTTGGGTAAGATGAAAACCTGATTCGGTCATTGAAAGTAATCAGTGACGTCGAAGTATATTTAAGGATCGATGGCAAATAGCTTATTAGCGCYTTTGCGGTCTAATTGGTGACATAATTATCGCTACGTAAAAAATATTTGCTGTCAATATAACACCAAAACTTGTTAATAAACTGGACTAATTTTTAAATCACTTTTCAGATGTGAAGCATAAACAAAAGGAGATGTATTTATTTAGCGGTTAAATATGTCTAAATGCAAGCAAGGACATTATAACAGGAGTGCAGAATTGATAACAAAACAATTAGGTACTTTACACAGTTATCATTCTCGATATGTTCAAAGTATTTGCGCTATGTTTTTTTGCTTTTTTCCAGTCTATTATAGAATAAGTGAGCACCTCTAATGACCACATTCCTCGTACATTTCTAATGTAAAATGGTACGATTCTACTACCTTACATTTCAACGTATTCTCCATGAAAAATTCCAGTGCGCCATTTATGGTTCTTGAAGCAAAATTCGTCAAAGATACGTCTATAATGCAAAGAGGTAACAGTGAGGGTCAAAGATTTCAAGATTCTTGATCTAGTTCACCGACTGCCATTAGAAACGAAACAAGTATTGCTGCTGTTGTCGCTTTTTTATTTATCACTTTGACGACATTATATTTCATTGCATTCAAGTTGTAAATTGCTGGGAAGGTTGTCCGGTAAAAATTAAATACATTTTTAATGGGTTTACTTATAGTAAAGGGTGCGCAAATTCAGCAGTTGCAAGTTTCTATCGGTTCAACTGATCGGAAAGCAGGTCATTCGATCTGCACCAATGAACAACTAATAAAATGAAAAAAATAACTTATCACAACGAATCAAACTATTGATTGAGAATATGAAAAAATCCCAATTTCAGTAGTATCGTTGAAGAATTATTCATTCGAATGAATCTAAAATTGCCATTTTTCGATCACAAGCGATGATCATAAAGAAGCACTTTCTTTACTGTTCATTTGATTTACTTTTGCGCACGGACTTTTACGCACATGTGCGTGAAAGTAAATGTGACAAATTGAAGGTGTCACTGTCATTATATTTTTTTAAAGTATTTTTATTGAAAAGTAACCGACATGCTTTCTTAATGAAGTTTGTAGGATTATCGACAAGTATTGATCATAATTTAAAGTTTACCTACAATTTGTAAATATCAACTTTAAGTTCAGTCTTCAAGTCGTTCTAATGACCATTTTTTTCTGCGCGCCGATGTTGCCACACGCAAAGCACGATCTTTTTAAATATCGCAAATGTCATGCAAAATATGCAACTTATACAAACACCATACCGTGAAAGCGGCACTTGAATTTTCAACACTGATTGTTTCACTTGTACATGCTTACAAAAGTACGCTTTTGAAAATTTACAAACGTCAAAACGTGACAATTTCAAAAATGGCATTGACGTCAAATTTAAAATATGAAGTTGATGAACTCCAGCCAAATTGACACCCGAGACGAAGTCGAGGGTGTCAAACGCCGACACTTTTCGTCCTTGTATCGAAATAGTAGTTTGCGATACAATGGCAAAAAATGTCGTTTTTCGAACGACGACGGCGTTTAACGTTTAATTGCTGTCAATCCGTCAGGAGTTCGAAAAACGGATTTTCGCCCTCGTATCGAACAATATTTTTTATTCGAATAAAGGGCATAACACAAATAATAAGTTATAATAAATAAAAATAGCCAAAAATAAAAGCCATCAACTTCATAGTTAAAATTTGATGTCAATGCCATTTTTGAAATTGTCATGTTTTGACGTTTGTAATTTTTCAAACGCGTACTGTTGTAAGCATACACAAGTGAAACAATGAGTGTTGAAAATTCAAGTACTGCTTTTACGGTATGGTGTTTGTATAAGATGCATATTTTGCATAAAATTTGCGATCTTTACAAAAATAGTGTTTTGCTTGTGGCAACATCGGCGAGTGCATAAAATAGACCATTTGAAGGACTCTGAGACTGAATTTGTAACAAAGTTATAATTTACAAATTGTAAGTAAACTTTAAATTATGATCAATAGTTCTCTATAAACCTACCGGTTACTTTTTAATGACAATATTTTATGACAGTGGCACGTCCAATTTGTCAGATTTACTTTTGCGCACATGTACGTAAAAGTCAAACAAATGAACAGTAAAGAAAAGTGTTTCTTTTTGATGATCGCTTCTGTTCGAAAAATGGCACTTTTAGATTCATTCGAATAAAAACTACTATTAAACTTTGAGGTAAAAAATAGATTTTCAACTGGATGATGAATTTGCAAATAGACCATCCGGAGGTCCCCAGTCAGTCAGAGACTCCCAAAGGCGATAGCTGAGAGTTTATCTGTATCATGTTATCCTAATGGCAAGTTAAACATTTGCAGCAAGAGTGACTGATATATAGATTAGATGTGACCTAACCAACTTGAGACACTTGTAAATCGTTCCTACTACGAACATAGTATACAATAGACTTTGTTTTGAACGCTCTTATCGTACATATGCAGAAAGCGTAAAGAACTCTTTGAAAAATTCTTGACTACTCCGCGCTGGCCCAACAAACAAACCAAAAGATCCAGAACTTGAACCGAAGGAATCTGCCGATGTGCCCATATTAATTGTTTGTGGCTTTAGTAATAGAGGAAGTTCAATATTTCATGAATGACTAACTATTTATTTGACTGGGTATTGGCTTTTTAATAGCTCACAACTTTTATCATTGTTAAATAACATTTGAATGACTCTTGTTCATCTCCAAGCTCGAAACCACAAAAACCTAGATACTACTATGATATGAATTGCATTGAACAAGAAAAACGAACACTGTAGGAAACTAGCGCGGCTTGACCACAAATTAACCCCAATGTGAAAAAGTAAAATGTTTAGTTTAGTTGCTATCAATTTATCAAAATAGACTTTATAATTCTTACCCTCGAGATTTTTTCTTTCTTCGAGATCTTGAGAGGCTCGTTTGTGTTCCTCCTTCGCCTCGATGTAGTAAAAAATAGCCGCCCCAGCAAGCAGATACATTCCGTAAAGGCACAGCAGCACCAGCCACTGTTTTTTGGACATTATGGACGTTTGGCTGATCTGCAAAGTATCTGCGAATTGATAAAGACACCTCGGGAGTGCCCTTGCAACATACTGAGTCCGATTGTTGCACCGGAGGGTTTTTTGTTGAGATCAAACCCCCGCTCTGAGTTAAAAGAGGCAGATTTTCCACAATTTTTAACATACTTTTGTCACTGATTAATTTTCATGTGATCAGCTATTTAAAAGGCAAACAAATACTTGACTGTATCTTATCGGCGGGTTTGAGGCTGGAAGTTTGAGTGCGTCTCTTCTTCAACTTTCTTACCTTGATCCTGTGTCTGATAACTAATTTTGAGCACCAACTAAGTCAACATCATCACGGCACTATTGAAAATATGACGAATTTGCCGAAAAGTAGCTCGTTTCAAAATGAGTGTCATGAACGGCCTACAATAGAATCTTTTGAAACACAAATTTGAGGAGCGGTTGCAATTGTCAATCTGCCACATCCGGGCCGTTAAAGTCGATTAAACCGTGAAACAGAATCACTTTAGTCCATTTTTTATTTGCTCGATACTTGAGCGATAAAACAATTACCAAGAAACTGAACTTGAAGGAGGCAAGTAGTTGCGAATGATAGCGGGGTAGAAATAATTGATAAATGCAACTGACGAGCAGTTTGGAAAATGCGGCGAACGGTTGGTGTTATTACAAATGTTATCCTTCTCTTGAGTCGGTTTCTGATAGGGGGAACCAGTGATAACAACCGTAAATTACCTTAACTGGAGGTGCTTATGAGTTCTGCTAAGAACGGTGTGATGAGAACCAGTAATTTGTCAATTCAAACACTGCTAATAGAGGATTCTAATGTGATACACAACGGGATGGAATTGGTTTCAGTGTATGGGATCAGATAATGCCTTTTTCCTAATAATCAGTTGAGAACTAAATTCCTATACGTTTTGAATTTGCATTCATTTCACGCTTTTGGGAATTTCTGCAGGTTTAAACGATGCCAATTTCCTAAAGTGATGCACAAACCGCAATTTTTAATTTTGATGCGACAGCTTTGGTTGCGATTCTTCTGTGTTTGAATAGTAATTACGTATGATGTGGTTTTTTAGTGATGTTCGTTTCTATAAACGTTTTACAGAAACTTTGACCAATGAATCCATCCGTGCTGAGCATACTAAGCGAATTGAGTGTGATATAATATCTGTATGTAATCACATAAACCTTTACATAGTTTTACTTATAAATCAGTACATAAAGCAATGTACCGTTTGGATTAGTACCTACAGTGAATATTTTTAAATACTTGTCTTATGCGCGTCTTAACGTAATATTTCCAAAGTGTAATAATTATTCCATTTCTTATCTATAAAAACATTTTGAATGTGTCAATTGCCTAACAATAAATCACATATTCCTAACGTCGGTATTCGGCCGCATTAGGGCATAGTTGAAACCGCAAACATTCAACGTGATGATCTAAAAGCTTCTAATTAATTTGAACTGTGATGGCCAATTAATAAGCACTTTATTTGTGAATGCCCTGTTGTTTGCCAAATAATTTACACTTGAACTATGTTGACTAACTGAAAATGTTGGCACAATCTTGCACGTAAATGTATCATATTCAAAATTTGCTTTCTGGGTCAAAACTGCTCGAATTTCCTCACTCATGTTGTCATGACTGAATCGAATCTTCAATTCTCTCTTCAACGATGCCAAAACGAATTCTGTGACTCAAATGGTTCGTGAGAAACTTCGAAAAAAAAACACACAAATCTAAAACTTCTTCAAATCAGGACTTTTTTGAGAAAACTGTCAACATTTTCTTATCGAGGGTTCACTTTATTAAAAAAGACCATTTAGTTCCGAGCAAATACACCTCGGTACCTGAGATGTCCCACGGACGTCATTACAGGATATAGGTCTAGGTCTCTCGGACGTCCCGGGATTATCCGGGTTTTGGGACATCACTGGGATTATAGACGGGTTGTTTCGAGGACATCTGTGAAACGTTCTTAGGTTAATAGTCAACCGTCAAATTATTGCTAGGTTTTCTTTCTAAAAACCATTTTTCTACTTTAGAAAAACGTTGAAGGAAATTTTATAATTTGGAAAATGTAGGGTGGAAGCAATTTAAAAGAAACAAAATACTAAACCAATAACCTATAGTTCAAAATACGTTTACGCATTACAAACTAAATTTCTTTTTGCTATAAATCGAAATTTGCTCTTCTATCCGAAACCGAACTATATTATTAAAGTGTTAATTGCTATTTTTGTCCCTTTTGAGTCTTTCCGGCGCGTGCCTGAGCCAATTTTGAATCTCGATTTCAATACATTTCCTGGTTGCTATAAAAAGCGGAAACTTTTTTTCTAAGTTAAGCAGTTTACGTAATATGTGATAATTAAAAAAGTGTTGATTTCTTGTCTTTTCAGGATATTTCAGGAACCAAGTCGGGTACCTAAATTTTGAAA